GGAGGAGAAGCCGAGTTCGGAGCTACCTGCAGCAGTGAAGGAGGTCTTGGAGCAGTACAAATATATAATGCCCGACGACCTACCCGCAGGCGTACCTCCAGCACGCACCCACGAGCACGAGATCGTGGAGGAACCAGGTGCAAAAACCGTCTCACGTGCACCATACCGACTAAGTCCGACCAAACTGTCAGACATGAAGAAGCAGATAGAATATCTACTGGACAGACAATTGATCCGCCCATCCACCTCTCCCTACGGTGCACCAGTTTTCTTTACTCCAAAACCAGACGGCAGTTTACGGATGTGCATCGACTACCGCGCACTGAACAAACAGACAGTGAAAAACAAATACCCCATACCGCGCATAGACGATCTTCTAGACCAACTGCGTGGTGCAACAGTCTTTTCGAAGCTGGACCTATGGTTTGGTTACTGACAGATCAAGATGGCAGACAACTCGATCAACAAGGCGGGTTTCCGTATCAGATATGGCTCCTACGAATACTTGGTGATGCCATTCGGACTCTGCAACGCACCAGCGACGTTCCAAGCGGAGATGAACCATATCCTGCGGCCCCTGCTAGACGAGTGCGTAGTGGTGTACCTGGACGACATACTCATCAACTCCAAGAACCTGAAGGAGCACGTGGAGCATCTGCGGAAGGTGTTTGAGATCCTGCGGAAAAACAAGTTCTATGTGAAGCTATCTAAAAGCGACTTCGCCCTGAAGAAGGTACAGTTCCTCGGGCACATGGTGAGTGCCGAGGGCGTACACGTGGACCCGCGGAAGATCGAAGTCGTCAAGAAGATGTGGAGAACGTGAAGGATTTGCAATAGTTCTTAGGCTTCGCCAACTACTACAACAGGTTCGTGCCGTAGTACGCTAAGATAGCAGCGCCACTGACCGACCTACTGAAAAATGATACGCCCTACAAATGGGATACTCCTCATCAGCAAGCCATGGAGCAGCTAGAGACAGCTCTGACTACAGCACCAGTATTCATCGTACCGGTTCCAGACAAGGACTACGTAATGGAAGCAGATGCTAGTGACCAGGTAGTCGGAGCAGTACTGATGCAGGATCACGGACACGGTTTGCAGCCCATCCCCTACCTCAGTAAGAAGTTACACGGAGCAGAACTCAACTACCCCATCCATGACAAGGAAGTCTTAGCGATAGTCATAGCCTTCAAGGCGTGGAGGTGTTACCTAGAGGGAGCCAAGACTACAGTCTATACTGACCACTGCAGTCTTAAATATCTGAATTCATAGCCGACGCTCTCACGACGACAGTTGCGGTGGATGGACTTCTTGGAAACTCACTTCCACTGCAACATCATCTACAAGCCCGGGCTACACAACAAAGCAGACGTGTTGAGCTGCCCCTGTCATGTAGCAGGCATCCAGCTTGACAGGATGAACCCTCTGCTCAAGGGTCTATTCCAACATGGATACTCCGTGTACACAGAGATTGCTATAGCAGGGAAACAGAAGCTATTACAGTGGGAGAAAGACTTAGCTGTAAGGAAGGGTTCAGGAAAGATTTGGGTACCGAACTATGCCCCGCTACGGCAGATCCTACTGGAGGAGTTTCACGACGTACCATACGCGGGACATTTCGGGAGCAACAAGACGTTAGCAGGGATAGCGAAGTATTACTACTGGCCCGGGATGGCAGCAGACGTGCAGCAGTTCGTCACCTCATGTGACACGTGCCAGCGGATGAAGAGTAGCAAGCAGAAAAAAGCAGGGTTACTTCAGCCTCTACACGTACCGGAGCAGCCATGGCAAGTCGTTAGGCTCGACTTCATCACGGGACTTCCTTCGACCTCACGAGGGCATGACGCTATACTCGTGGTGATCGACAAGTTCTCTAAAATGGGTCACTTCATCGCGACCAACACCACAGCTACAGCTGAAGCAACTGCTCGCCTCTTCTTCGACCGCATCATCACCATCCACGGCATCCCCGCTACACTCATCTCAGACAGAGACCTCAAATTCATGAGTAAGTTATGGAAGGAGCACATGGGATTATTGGGGACTACAATTGCGATGTCCTCAGCATACCACCCACTGACTGACGGACAAACAGGGCGACTCAATCAGGTGGCTGAACAGTTACTGCGCACAGCTTGCAAAGACGATGTCAGCCACTGGGACACATGCGTTACAACAACAACGCGTCACATGCGGCCACAAGGAAATCTCCTTTCTTCCTGTGCTACGGACAGGAACCACTTACACCACAGCAGCCAACCACACCGGCACACGTCCAAGCCGCACATGACTTCGTCACCACTATGCAGCAGCTATGGGAGAAGACTCAGCGACGTCTCATCACGATGCAAAACTCCCAGAAGCAGTATGCCGATTGCCAGTGACGTGACCACTCAGTAGCAGTCGGAGATCAGGTGCTTCTTGACACACGCAACTTGAACCTGTCTCACCTTACATCCAAACTCCAGCCTCGCTTCTGTGGTCCCTTACACATTGAGGCACAGGTGGCACCAGTAACATTCCGCTTGCGCTTACCTACTACGTGGAAGCTTCACAATGCTTTCCATGTTCAACTACTAAAGCCCTACAAGGACCCCAACCAACAGTTCCAGGGATGGCAGCTACCGCCACCACCACCTGTTCTCATACAGAATGAACCAGAGTACAAAGTGGAGCGCATTCTCACTCATCGGTGCCGCGGCGGCAAGACCCTCGAGTTCCTGATACGCTGGAAGGGATATGACCCCACTGAGGACAGTTGGGTGCAGAAGCTGATATAACCTACACACACCGTGCTCTCAAGGACTATCTTGTCAAGCAGGGTGTTTCTCACACCACCCAGCTTTGAAGGGAGGATGTGTGAGAGTACGACGGCTTATGCTTGCTTATTATGCTATATCTAGCTTGGGCTTATTTTATCATGCATAGATATGCTTGATTTCCTAGGTTAGGTGCATTCCTATATGTTATTATAGTTATAGCACCAAACCAGGTTACGTGTACCGAACTCAAGCCTTTCGGTTCCCATCGAATTGCTTTCTACCGAGTTCGGGAAGGTTCTGTTCGGGACTCTTCGCCACCCTCAGAACATTTGCGTAACACCTGGGTAACTGGCCGTGTGTCGAGACTATATATAGCCTCGTGTTGTACCCAGGTGGGTCATTGAATTCAAACTCTCTTTTATGAGCTTGATCCTAGATCCTCACAGTCCCGATGAAACGAGTAAAAGGCGTTCGCCAAGTCCAGCTGAAGAACCACCCAGTCAGGGTGGTCATTCAGGGCGAGACGAACGCCTCTAACCACGACCTCTGTCCCACAGGTAACGCCCACCCCAAACTGCTGTGACGCGAGGAAAACCCTAGCCATCTGGTCCCGCAGCTGCAAGCATACTGCACGAGAAAGGATGCGAATCATAACCTCACCTATCGCGATTGGACGCATATCCAGGTTCGGTTTCGCGAGAGCGACCAGGGTGGATGATGCCAATAGCGATCGAGCTGCCGGGGCGCAGTAGCCTCGCAGCCAAAGCTGGTACACGGCGAGCAGGCTAGGGAGGATCTCAGGAAAGGCAGGGAAAGTTTCTCAAAGATGCTCGGCAACCCAGCCTGTCGGTCCTCCACACGACCCGCGCGGGGCTGTGAAGATGGCGCGGCAAAGGTGATCTATAGAGAGCATGAGGGCAGTATCCTGGAAAGTCGGTAGCCAATCTGGAGCCGATCGCTCTGCGATGGGATGCTTGCTCCGCAGACGTTGCATCGTACTCTCCGTGTCAGGTGCCGCCTCTGCCAACTCCAGGGCCGCGCAGGCCCGCGAGGTCTCATTGCAAGCCGCCAGACGCAGGCAGCGGGCAATGCGACGGTCATCCGCCGTGGGGGAGAAATTGGTGGCGCGGGCGTGACGTGCTACTCGTAGAGGAAGGGGAGTACGTCGATGTAGGGCCTCAAAGATGAGCTCGTCCCACTCACCTCGTCCAAAACGGATGATGCGCGCTGCAATGGCAGCTGTGTTTGAACGCTCTGGCGGTGTCGCCGGAGCCAGTAGGAGCGTCGGTGCCGCCGCCAAGAGGAGATTAGGGCTCGGTGCCTCTGGGTCCTGGGAGACCCACGCTAAGATGGCGTAGAGGATGTCTAGATACCCACCACGGACCCTCGGGGGGATACGCCGAAGAGGACGGGCATGAATGCGCTCCGAGGCAAAGTACTCCGACCACCGGACGGAGTCAAGTGTATGCCACTGTGCATCTGTGAACTGCATCCCTTGGGCTCGGGGCTCTGCTAGGGAAGGTAGAGCTGAGGCCCTGTCGTGGAGGGCCTGCGCCCTGCGAGCTGCGTCGGCAGGGTGGCAGAATGGCATGTGGTGTCGGAGTGCTCGGCGGTTCGCGAGGGAGCTCAAACATGTGGGGCACCTCATGACCTCGTCTGGTGACGTCGCTGTGTCGGTGGGGTCGGCTGTGGCCGTGGCCTCGGAACTGTCTACCGTGGTGATAGGTGGGGCTGATGATGGGGATGGGTGGGGTGAGACATGCCGGAGTGGTGCACCTACCTCCGCGTCAAAGGCGCACGGCTGAGGATCAGATCGGTCTCCATCGGAGAATGGTGAAAGGGTTCCTGTAGGATGGGGGCTACAAGAGGGAGGTCCATGAGGGGGGCTTCGAGGGCGTGTACCACTGGGGCCGGAGGGGTGGGAGTAGAGAGGGGTATGCCAGTCTTCTGTATCGCCAGCAAGTCAGATACAACCGCCCCCAAGCCCGATGAGGGCTCCAACGCCTCTAGGTCTGTAAGGGAGGGTGGGTGACCTGGTCCAGCGAGAGATGAGTGAAGCACTGCCGGCCCATGTGGCTGGGTTGCATGTGGTTGTCGCACCGGCCTTAGCTCACCCTCCAGCCGTCTCAGCGGAGCTGTCAGGAGCGGGGTGGGGCTACACGCATTGGTGGGAAGGGGGGGTATGAGATATAAGTGCAGCCTCATCCTCACCCGTCATTGTGCCAACCCCAACTCCAACTACCTCCATCCTAGTGGGGAGGGCGTCATCTTGAGCGGCAACCAGATGTTGGTGGGGAAGGATTGCGCCGGAGGAACCTCCACCGTGTGCCTGCAAAGGCGAGGGTTCATGAGGGGTGGGAAGGATGGGTGATGAGCCCATGTGAGGGTCGCCTGGAGCAGGTTGGGAGGTGGGGGTGTGGAACTTAAGCCCTCCTCGCCTCTGGCTCTCCCCCTCCGTCGTCGACCTGCGTTGGCTTGGGGAGTTGTGGGAGGGGGGTCAGAGTGGGGCCTGGAAGGAGGGGAAGGGGGGGAATGTTGGCACGGCGTGAGGGCTCGACATGAGACCTCCATCCACCCGTGGGACCTCCCGAGGTGGCGGGAGCCGGTGGCGTGGTAGATGCCAAACGTTGCTGGTTGTGGGATGGTGGGTGGGCCTGTGCGGGTGCAAGCGGGGGTCGATGGGCTGGGGGAGGGTGGTGGTGACCATGGGGTGCCTAGGGCTGCGAGGGTGGTGATAATGATAATGGTGGGGGATGGTAGGGGAGGGGCGAGTTCCTAGCAGCGGGATGAGGTGTCGGTATCCGGCGCTGTGGAATTGTGTAGCGTACGGGGCGGAGGGGAGTCGGTGCGGGGGTTGATGCGACTGAACCAAGCGCCTCGGACATGTGCACATCTGCCGGTGAGGGCGGACCTGGTGGAAGGAGAGGTAGTGGTGGCTGGGAGTTGATAGTCGGGGAGCAGGGCTCCTCTAGGAAAGCCCGGGCCTTGGCTGCCCCACTTAATTCGCAAGAATGCCTGTGAGGGTGGGGGAAAAGGGTGGGTGCTCCCGGGGGGGAGTGGGTTAAGAGATGCGGGGTGTGGATGGGTGTACTCTCCGGATTCTCTGTCCTCGCTGTTTCCTCCTGCCCCTCTATTAAAGCTCCTGCCTGCATGGGGGTGGGCCTGGGGGGGGCAGGGAGGACCTCGTCATGGGGCTGTGGTGGGACTGCAGCGTCCCCATCGCTGCCAACCTCTCCTGCGGCCCGCGCACTCCGTCTGCGGTCTCTGCCGCCCCTGCAGCAGACTCCTCTGCCCCAGCTGTGGCCTTTACCGGCCGTGCTGGCCGTGCTAAAGCCCTGTCCCTAACTTCAGCCGCAACCCTGTCTGGTGCAGCGCTCGCCGCCCCATCTGCCGCCTCTGCGACCACTGCTGCCCTTTCTCCAGCAGCCGCTGTTCCTTCTCCGTCAGCTCCTGATACCGCCCCCACGCTGGCAGCCCTCGCTGTACCTCCGCTCTGTAGCTGCACTTGCCCGCCGCTATGCGGCAGCTGCTGCCCTCCATCTTGCAGCTCTTGTTGCCCCCTCGCCAACAGCCCATGCTGCACTCCAACCTGCAGCCCTTGCTGGCCTCTTACAAGCCACCCCTGCTGCCCTCTCCCCCCTCTCTTGCGGCGCCTCCGCTCTTGCCGTTGAGCTAACCGAGGCCCTATCAGCGAAGTGTCGGCATCTACGGGAGGTAAGACAGGACTTCTGAAGCTTCGCTGTATGGTCGTTTCTGCGAGGTCACGGCTACGGTGGACGTGCTGCAGCTGCAAGCGCCTACGGTGGGCCTCCCATAGTGCCCTCGCTTCCTCGGGTGCCTCGTTCGACAACTCCCTCATCGCGTTCGTTTGTCCCTCCTCGTTGATTGGGGTCACCCCCCCCCCCCCCCCCCCCCCCATTGTTGGCTAACTAGTCGGGGCCGCTGCTCCGGCTAGCCTGGTTGCTATGAGGGTCTTAAATCGGCTGTACAGTCTCCGCATTGTTGGGTTTATGGCATGGCCTCTTGGCTGGTTTGCCGAAGAGGCATAGAGCATCTTCCTTGTGCATGCGACGGATGTATGGACCTTGGGGCCCTTCCGCAGCTCCTCCACGTCGTTTACAGGCAGCCACTAGGCGGGTTGTCTTAGTGGGTGATGCCGTACATTCCCCCCCTTCGCTCGTATTGGCCCGTCGTCCCACTATCAGGTCCTCCCCTCTCCCCGACCCCGGGGTCACCGGGGTCTGGGTCGTCGTCCATGGCTCAAAGCGGATGACGGTTCACGCTGCCACTAGCATCGTCTCTGACTGCTACTCGATGTCTGCGCTGCTGTGGGCGAGTTTCCTCCAGCCTACGATCAGTTCACACTGCTACTAGCGTTTTTTCCATTGCTACTCGCGGCCTGCGCTGTTGTGGCTGAGTTTCCTGATGCTACGGGCGGTTTACACTTTTACTAGCAAGTTTCTTATTGCTACTCGCTGCCTGCTTTGGGCGAGCTTCCTACTGCTACGGGCGGTCTATGCTCTTACTAGTGAGTTTTTCGCTAATACTCGGGGCCTATGCTGATATGGGCCGACATCGCGCTAAATGCGATCAGATTTCCAGCTACTACGAACGAGTCTCGCTGCTGCTGGCGGATTTCAAGCTGCTATGGGCAGATCTCGCTGACACCTATGAACTTCGCACTGCTACGAACGACTCTCGCTGTTGCTAGCGGATTTCTCACTGCTGTGAGCGGCTCACGCTGCTCCTAGCGGATATCACGCTACTATGGGCGGATCTCGCGCCTGCTGCTAGCAGATCACTGCTGCTATGGGCAAATCGCGCCTGCTGCTAGCGGATCTCTGCTGCTACGGACAGATCGCGCCTGCTGCTAGCGTATCACTGCTGCTACATGCAAATTGCGCCTGCTGCTAGCGGATCGCTGCTGCTATGGCCAAATCGCACCTGCTGCTAGCGGATCTCTGTTGCTACGGGAAGATCGCGCCTGCTGCCAGCGTATCGCTGCTGCTACACGCAAATCTCGCTTGCTGCTAGCGGATCGCTGCTGCTACGGGCAAAACGCGCCTGCTGCTAGCGGATCTCTGCTGCTATGGGCGAATCTCGCCTGCTGCTAGCGGATCTCTGTTGCTACGGGCAGATCGCGCCTGCTGCCAGCGTATCGCTGCTGCTACGGTCAAATCTCGCATGCTGCTAGCGGATCGCTGCTGCTACGGGCAAAACGCGCCTGCTGCCAGCGGATCTCTGCTGCTACGGGCAGATCGAGCTTGCTGCTAGCGGGTTAAACGGATTCGTCCTGGTTCTATGATCGCGCAGCTGCTAGGACGAAACGCGGCTGCTAGGACGAATCGCGGCTGCTAGGAAGAATCGCGGCTGCTAGGACGAATCGCGGCTGCTAGGTCGAATCGCGGCTACTACGAATCTGTGATAGTAGCTGCTTGGCATGGCGAACATGCTTGACGAGCCGCTTTCGAGGCTCGGGACATTTTGGTGAAACAAGTATTTCAAATGAGATAGCTTTGGCGGGATTGGAAAAGGTTTTGAAAGCTGTGAATGTAATCAATGGGTTTGCAATGCGATGGATGATCAATATTCCCCGATCCAACGCCCCATATTACATCCTTGAGTATAGGCAGGAGGACTTTGAGTGTCTTACAGCTGCTGTACCTCATCTCGTGGCCATGCTGCTTGCCCCTGAGGGAGACCCGGATGTGCCAGACATCCCGACCCCGCGCTCTTACGCAGAGGCGATTACGGGTCCCTACTCCTCTCAGTGGCAGACAGCCATGGACGTAGAGATGGCATCCTGGAAGTCCACGGGCACCTACGTCGACGAACATAGTCGATGGCATGTGGATTTTCAGGGTGAAGCAGCCGCCGGGTTCTCCGCCTGTCTTGAAGGCTCGTTACATTGCACGAGGCTTCAGTCAGCGACAGGGAGTTGACTTCTTCCAGACCTTCTCCCGTACCCCGAAGATGACCACTCTTCGGGTGTTGCTGCACGTTGCAGCTCGGCGTGACTATGAGCTGCACTCTCTTGACTTTAGCAGAGATTTCTTGCAGGGCAGCCTGCGAGAGGAGATATGGCTGTGCCGCCCACGTGGATTCACTTGGTCGTTTCCTGCAGGTACCCAGTGGAGCCTCCGGCGGCCAGTCTATGGTCTCCGCCAGGAGCCTCACGAGTGGCATGACACACTGAGGACGACACTTGCGGCTCTTGGGCTTGCTCCTTCGACTGCTGACCCGTCGCTGTTTCTACGCACCGACACTTCGTTGTCGCCGTTCTACGTCCTCGTGTACGTCGACGACTTGGTCTTTGCCACTGTTGACACTGAGGCACTGGCCCTTGTTAAGTCGGAGCTGCAGAAGAGACACACTTGCACTGACCTGGGTGAGCTGCGCAGCTATCTTGGCTTGCAGATCACCCGGGACAGAGCACGGCGCACCATCACCCTGACTCAGTCACACATGGTGCACGAGGTCCTTCAGCAATTCGGCTTCCGATACTTCTCGCCACAGTCCACTCCTCTGCCTACCGGTCACTCGCTCTCAGCTCCACCTTCCGACGATTCCGTAGAGCCGAGTGGCCCATATCCAGAACTTGTGGGCTGCCTCATGTACCTGATGACCTGCACTCGACCTGACCTTGCCTACCCTCTTAGCATCCTGGCACGCTACATTGCGCCCGGGAGACACCGACCAGAGCACTGGGAGGCCGCTAAGAGGGTGTTGCGCTACTTGTGCAGTACTTCAGGCATGGGGCTCGTGCTTGGAGGACGGGGTCCAGTTGTCCTCACTAGACACGCAGACGCTTCTTGGGTTGAAGACTTGGCTACGCAGCGGTCGTCACAGGGTTACACCTTCAGCCTTGGCTTCGGCTCTGTCTCTTGGGGTCTACCCGCTCGTCTTCTATTCTCAGTTCCAGTTGTGAGGCTGAGATCTACGCAGGGGCCATGGCTGCACAGGAGTTACGCTGGCTCACCTACCTGCTGACCGGCTTGGGAGAGTAGCCTCGTTCTTCTCCAGTTCTGTACGTAGACAACAAGGCCATGATTGCCTTGTGTTAGGAGCACAGACTGGAGCACAGAACGAAGCACATCGCTCTGCGTTACTTCCTTGCTCGAGAGTTGCAGCAGCCTGGTCAGCTTCGTCTTGCTTACGTGACCACTAGGGCCAACACTGCTGATATATTCACCAAGGCACTTCACTCTGGTGATCATCAGCGTTTCTGTACTGTTTTAGGCCTTGTGCCTACTTTGCCTCACTTGCTCACTGCGTGACTTTGCTTGTACTGTGATCTATATATATACCTGCATGCTTACACTTGCTAGGGTATGATCACTGTATTATTTGTTCTCTTTTATATAACTCTGCATGTGAACTGGCCTTGTGGCCCTTTGCTTGTGCTCAGACTGTGTGGTGACTTTGTGATCCACCCTGAGCTTGCTTTTTTTTTTTTTACTGGTCTTGTGACCACTTGTTCTCCCCCACTTTGCTTATGGGGGTGTGTCAAACTTATATAGTGCTTACATTGTGTAGGCTGTAGTGGGGTAGCCCATAAGGGGTACAACCCAATTAGGGTTAGTACTTGTACCCAACTTTCTGCTCAATCGAATCATTCTCGTTATAGATTCTAACAATTCCTGCACAGGGATTCTGACAGTAGCAAACAAGCTGCGAGAAATGGGAGTGCGACACACATGATTGACACAAGGGTTGAAAACCGTTTGTGCATGTTTCGTTCTTTTTTATGTGCCTCTAATACGCCGTTTGTGCTTGTTTCGTTTTCCTCCCTTCCAATGCAGCATGCCGCAACTTACGTGGTTGGTGGCAAGAAGTGCTGGCCTGACGTCAAGTCTTGGGCTGTACCTTCGTCTTTCTCTTCATCTAATAAGCTAGGTAAGCGATGACTTTCGAGTCAACTCATCAGTCAACTTGGTATGTTGTCACACACGAAGCCTTGGGCATGATGGGCTGTACCGTCTTTCTCTTCTTTTGATACGCTAGGTATGCGTTCTCTCTTGAGTCAACTCAACCGTCAGCTCGGTTTATTGTCACGCGCGAATCCTTGGAATGTAAATGCATCGTTATGTGTTGTATATGCGTAACCATACCGTAAGTTGTTACCATGCGACAGTGTGCTGGCCATGCAATGCACGTCCGTTCTTCACGCCTCCCCTCTCTCCCACCGTTCCCCCTCTCCAGTCTTCAAGTGGGACAGTGGCCGATTTGCCGCCCTCTTTGGTGGGCCCAAGCACAGTCTGGCAGAGGCTGGCACTGTAACGGCCTTTGATAACTGTGACACCACCAAGACCCTTGGGAAAGTATGTGTAAAGGCAACGCGCAAGGCTAATTACATGATGTCACTTGATGGGTCGGATCATCGATACTTCAGTACGGTTAGGAAAGATTGTGCAAAGAAAGGCATAAAGCTGCCTGTTATCTTGGGGGGGTAGGTGTGTTGTCTGAGTGAGGTCCCATGTCTCGGCCATGAGGTTTGAATGAGATGATTACACCAATGACAATCCCATTGTGTGAAAGCTTGCGCTCTTTTGGACATGGCATGCTGTATATCATCAATTGCCATTCACAGTTTCGTGAAGCTGTCTATAAATCGAAACTTGCTACACCCATACCACGCGATAAACCCCTATGATTTTTAGAGACTACAATAATACTGTAGTAACTTAGATCGAACTACCGAATTGCTAAGTCTTTTTTATTTAATCCAACAAAGTCACAAGGAGGGCTTGGTTCCGTCAACCTCCCCATTGGAGAGCAGGTGTGCCATGTAGTGCTGGGGGAACAAGGAGGGCAGATGGTGGGTTGGGGAAGGTGGAGTGTGGTGTGTGGCGTGGAGTAAGGATTGTGGAATGTGGTGTGCAATGCGCACACCATACATTCAACTCAATAACGAGTCACAAGGAGGGCTTGGTTCCGTCCACCTCCCCATTGGAGAGCAGGTGTGCCATGTAGTGCTGCGGGAACAAAAAGGACAGATGGTGGGTGGGGGGATGGTGGGGGGATGGTGGGCCTGGGTTTGACATGGCAAGACGAGTGGATTCAGGGTAAGCGAGACAGTGGCGGGGGGGAAGTGGCGAAGGCTGTAACTATCTATTTCCTTTGTCACCTCCAAATCAGTTATTCAGGCAAACAGGAGGAACAAATGAGTGGCAATCATTACAGTGGGCTAACAGGGAATGGCTAGTGCACAGACAGACCTACACAGATAGACCTACACAGACAGACCTACACAGATAGACCTACACAGACAGACCTACACAGATAGACCTACACAGACAGACCTACACAGACAGACCTACACAGACAGACCTACACAGACAGACCTACACAGACAGACCTACATAGACAGACCTACACAGACAGACCTACACAGACAGACCTACACAGACAGACCTACACAGACAGACCTACACAGACAGACCTACACAGACAGACCTACACAGACAGATCTACACAGACAGACCCCCACCTCGCCTTGTGTTCGTCTACAGGGAGAGACCCAAGTTACTCACAGCATGGTAGGCGTATGCTAGCTGCCCCTGCCTCTCATAGTGCTTCGCCAGAATTGTGAACTCTAAAAGCCTACCACACATGCATGAACCCTGCTCTCCAGATAAGTAAAGGTCGCCTCGTGAGAGGCAAAGCACTATGAGAGGCAGGGGCAGCAAGCACACTCACAGCATGGTAGGCGTATGCTCGCTGCCCCTGCCTCTCATAGTGCTTCGCCAAAATGGTGAACTCCAGGGGACCCCAGTCAGACTCTTCAAACACGTTCCCCAGTGCCCGCTGGTATAGCTGAAATGGGGGAGAACGAAGGGAAGAGGGAGAGAGGAGTAAGGGAACGAGAAGAGAAGGGAGTTGAATTTTGAGTCGACTCAAAAGAGAAGGAAGAAGGAGAGATGTTGAATTGTGAAGTCCAGGGGACCCCAGTCGGATTCCTCAAAGACGTTCCCCAGTGCCCGCTGGTGTAGCTGAAAGGCGCGAAAGAATAGGGAAGCGAGAGAAAAGAAGAAGAAGAGAAAGAGAAGAGGTGAAGTGAGGAGAAGTGGAATCGTGAACTCCAGGCGACCCCAGTCGGATTCTTCAAAGACGTTGCCCAGTGCCCGCTGGTATAGCTGGAAAGGGAAGAAGAAAGAGGAGGATGAAGAGGACAGAAGGAACAGAGAAGAGAACGAGCAGAGGAGGGGTGGTTGGACTGGGAACTCCTGTGAACTCCTGAAAAACGTTACAAGTACTTAGTAGTGGTATTGGTACCCACTAAAGACATAGTTAAAAGCAGGCTCACCTTTGTAGTGTCCACTAGAATTTCCGCGCCAGAAGCATACCCGCTGTAAGGCGTAGCCACCAGAGGGACGTGCGCTCTAATGCTGGCGAGGGGTGGGGGAGGAGAGGAGTGCGTAAGAGAGGAGATAGATTTTTGAGTCGAATCGAAAAAATCACTACTCGCTGTAAACGTAGCCACCAGCGGAACATGCGCTCGAACGTTGGAGAGAGGGGGGGGGGGAAGAGAAGGGGGGGAAAGATGTGGAGGGAAGAGAGAGCGAAGGGACGAGGGGAGGTCGGAAACGACGAGGGGAGGGAAGGGGGGAGGGACGAGGGCCGGGAGGACGAAGGGGCGACGGCAGGGCTTCTACGTACGCAATATTAGCGTAGGTGTACGCGGCACAGGCAGACGCGATATAGATCCCTGTGTAGAAGCCTAGCCGGCGGAAGCGGCGAATCTGCCAGAATGAGCCTTTTGGAGGAACGTCGCTGCCGCTTTGGTGCTGCTGACGTGGCAGCGGGCCAGCGGACATCGAAGTGAAATACAATAATACCGAAACCGCGTTTAGTGAAATAGATTTGCTGGAATTCGCGTTGCGAGGAGAAAGTTACTAGGCCTGGAGCTACTGACTGAGTTTCTTAGGCAGTGGGAGGGAAATACCGAGCAAAACAAACTGGCATACAGAGGGCTTCGTTTCAGGTACATGTTCAACATTATTGAAGTTTCCTATGATCTGTGGAATTGAATTCAAACGATGGGAGTCTGTTGAAGTGTTTTTTGTAATCACAAATTTCGCGAAGGGAATTGTGGAGCGAAACCGCCCGCTCGCTTTTATCGCAGACCTCCCTGGATCACAATTTCCCGCCACATCCCAGTTTGACGGCCTGCGAATCTGCGATCCGACTGAATCGTCTAGCCCACGAAACGAAATGGCCAGTTTCAGCCGAACTCGAAACGTTGAACCCACGGAACCAGTGTTGGTGATGAAAAACCGCTTTGAAAACTACAACAGCTATACCAAACCGTATTGAATCGAACTTCCATGCCACTCATTGGGAATGCACCAGGGTCCAGCAGCTATTGATTCACCGACCACCTGCGGGATCTCCGGCCGTCAAGTATGATTTAAAACGTTAAGCTAAGCGATCAGAGAGTCTCGCGAAGAACCACACGCAGCAGGTGGGTCCACCAACCAACCATTCTCGAGGACCCCACAAGCACCACAAGACAAATGCCTTTCTTCCAGGAGACCATTATGAACCTTTGCAAAACGAACGAAAACTGCTTATACCGTGGAGAAGCTACCTAGGATTGCAACAATGGAATGAATCTTCAACAACTCTCATCTAAAAGGCCTGCAGCCACACATTTTCGAGGTTCTGATTTCTGCAAGCACTGAGAATGCCGATCTCCGTTCAGGCATTCTAGGAACCACGCTTGAGACTAATGCCGTCCTGTGTCGTCTAAAGGGTCAAGGCATCATCGTACGGTAGCTAGGTGGGCTTACCGAGATTGATTAGGATCCAGTGCGTTGGCGCCAATGCATGTTGGCGAGTCGTGTTGTGATCTGACAATCGTCTAGATACCGATACTCCTTGCCAAGCAACTCAGACTGCAGAAAAGTGGTCCTTTTTTCTCGAGCCACAATGGTGAGGCGTTTTAGTACTATTAAGGGGGTTCTCTTCCAGTTGTTTTGTATTTTGTTATGAACGTTGTTCTGTTGTAACGAATGATTTTTCTCTTTTTTTCTCATTGGTTTGTCAGGCGAAACGCACTCAACTGATCGCGGTCTTCCTTCTATTCCTATTGGCCACGACCGCTACAACGGTCAGCGCCAAGAAGAAAAAATCGAAGGTTGCAGAAGAATCTCCCGCTGCAGAGGATGCAGCAGCTACGGAAGAAAAAACGCCAGTCGCAGCAGAAGCAGCAGACGAGGGGGAGTCGACGGAAGCGAAGGCTTCCGCGGACGATGCTTCCGCCAACGAAGGGGAAAAGGCGGAAGGCGGAGAGGCGGCGAAGGAGGAGAAAGAGGGTGAAGGGGAGGATACCACCGGAGCTGACGCTGCTGTTGCTGGGGCTGGGGAGGATCCCCCTCCTGGAAGCCAGCTGGAGCAGGATATTATCAAGGCGGAGAAGAAAGCAGGAGACATCTTCCCTGCAGGTATGGACATTTTTTATGGCGACGTTATGGTTTTCGATGATGTAAATCTCGTGATCAGATCCGACTGACACAGAGTCTGCAGACGATTCGTGAATGGGGCTTGTGCCTTGCTCTCACTAACGCTGGTCCGATCGTTAACCCCGACGGCTGCACTTGAGTCAATCCGATCGTTTCGCGTTTTCCAACAGTGGTCACCAGATCGTAGAATCTCGACGGACCGTCTTTTTGAATAAACTCGTCATTTTCCGTGTTTCAAATCTCCGACCGCAATGTCAGAGCGTCACGTTAGCCTCCGGGTTCCGCGGTTGACGGACTCCCGTCTTGTCTCAGTCGTGTCTGATCATGACGTTTCAAGCATTTAATCTGTCACAGGAGCGTGCACAGCGCAATGCTTACCCAGGCCAGGCAGTGGATAAGGCTTGAGCGAGTGTATGTGTGCAGGGGTGTACAAGGCGGAGATCAAGTCGTTCTGCGATGGCGTGCGCCTGAGCAACAGTTGTTGAGGCGGGTGTTGAGACGGCTCATTATGAGCTGAGTGTGTGACTTTATCGAATGTGTGTGCTGTGTCTGCGGCGCCTGATTGATTGGGAGTTTGCGTGAAGGGGCGTGAGCAGCAGGTGTAAAGGCGCCTCGATATAAGCTGGGTGTGTTTCTCACAAATTTACCGTGACTACTGTGCATGATTGCGTGTGTGTGTGCGTGCAGGGGCGTGCAAGGGGGAGATCAAGTCGTTCTGCGAGGGCGTGGACGTGGGCAACAGGAGTCTGGAGCGCTGCCTCTCTGACAGCTTCAAACTCACCAAGGCCGCTGACGGTGAGAAGAGAGGCCTCTGACGGTTAGCAGTGAGGCAGCTGACAGTTGGCAGTGAGGCCGCTGACGGTTAGCAGTGAGCTCGCCGAACGTGAGACTGCTGAAGGTGGGCAAGCGGGAAACGTGTAATTGAGCAGCGAGATTGCATGGATAGCAAACCAGACGAGATACGTACAGTGGGAGCAAGCTATCCTTCAAGAGGCACTGGGATATCTCAACTTCACAGGTGACCCTTCTCCCTTAACCCCATTCCCCCGTGCCCCTTGCCTTCCCCCGTTCCCCCTGGCCTGGCCCGCACGTAATCCCTCAGCTGCGTCGGCCGACAAGAAGTTTGGCAAGAAGTGCCTCAAGGCCATCCGTCGGTTTAAGATTGAAGTGTACAAGGACATTTCTATCGACAAGGAGATGAGTAAGTGATGCGCAGCACATGGTTCTTTATTTAGAAGAAAGGAAGGAAGAAACTAAGAAAGAAAAGAGCTGACTGAGGTTTTGAGGCGTTCAGAACTTTGGTCTTGCATCAGATGTCACTGAATGCTTGGGTGCAATTTCACTCTTGATTCTTGTTTCTAGCAGTGCGGGTCCTGCTGCTGACATAAGTTTCTCTCTCAAGCTCGTTTGTTTTTTCCTGTGTGCCTGTCTGTTCTTTTTTGGGAATCGGGGGGAAGATGTGTGTGAGTGTGTTTTTGTGTTTGCGTGTGCGAGCGTGTTTGTGAGTGAGTGTGTGCGAGTGTGTGTGTGTGTGTGTGTGCACATGCGTGCTTGCGTGTGTGTGTGTGTGTCCATGCATGCGCGTGCATGTTTGCGACGCCTCTGTATGTGTGCAATGCAGTGGAGGTGTGCAAGGATGACATCTCATCGCTCTGTGACGATGACTTCCTCTACCCCGAAGTCGGAAGCGTCCTCGCCTGCCTCAGGTGCGTGCCTTAGGGGCCAGTCCCTCCCCTCTTAAAATCCCTCGCAAATCCTCTCTCAAACTCACGCCCCTGGTGGAAGTGGGGGCAATGGGGACCGATGGGGCCAATGCAGTGGAGGTGTGCAAGGATGACATCTCATCGCTCTGTGACAACGACTTCCTCTACCCAGAGGTCGGCAGCGTCCTCGCCTGCCTCAGGTGCGTGCCATTCACCACTTCCCTTCCCCTCCTAAAGCCTCTCTCAAACCCCCTTTTTGAAGTCACATCTCGCATCTCCTGTATATTTTTCTGGCGAGTTTCTTAACCCAGGCAGTGTTCTCTCCGGTTTTAGGTTTTTGCTGCTTGGTCCCCCCATCCCCCATCCCCATTCCTCCTTTCTCCCTTTCTCCTTGCTCCCCTATTTCCATCATCCGTCCTCCCCAACGCTCTCCCTTCTCCCTGACCTCTCTCCGTTCCTCACACACGATGCCTCCTCTTCGCTCCTCAGTTACCCAACTTTCAATCCCATACATGGTCAGGGAGGCCAAGTCAGGCGGCAAGATATCGGAGGCATGTGGGCAGAAGGTGTTTGAGGCACAGCAGGACGCAGCCAACGACTTTTCCTAAGACCCTCAGCTCAAGCCATCCCACCCCTTTCCCAACCCCTTTCCCTCCAACCCCCAACCCCAATCTCAATCCCCTCCGACCCCTCCGAAATTTCCTCTACCAGGGAGGCCAAGTCAGGCGGCAAGATATCGGAGGCGCGTGGGCAGAAGGTGTTTGAGGCGCAGCAGGACGCGGCCAACGACTTTGCTCTGGACCCTCACCTCAAGCCATCCCACCCCTTTCCCCACAACCCCAATCCCAATGAACCCCTCCAACCCTTCCAAAATCCCCTCTTCCAGGGAGGCCAAGTCTGGTGGCAAGATATCGGAGGCGTGTGGGCAGAAGGTGTTTGAGGCGCAGCAGGACGCAGCCAACGACTTTGCTCTGGACCCTCAACTGAACGAGACGTGCTCTGGGGACGTGCAGCGGCTGTGTGCTGATGTGCCCACCGGGGAGGGGCGGGTTCAGGACTGCCTGGTAAGTGGAGGCGGGAGAAGGGGGGGATGTGTGGGGGTGCTGTGCGGTTCGAGTGCGAGCGGCTTCGCTCTGGACCCTCAGCTGAACGAGACGTGCTCTGGGGACGTGCAGCGGCTGTGTGCTGATGTGCCCACCCAGGAGGGGCGCGTGCAGGACTGCCTGGTGGGTGTGGGTGGATTCGTGTGTGAGAGCATGTTAGCTGAATGAAACGTGCTCTGGGGACGTGCAGCGGCTGTCGCTGACGTGCCCACTGGGGAGGGCGTGCAGGATTGCCTGGTGGGTGGAGGGGTTGGGTGCCGTGTGTGTTGCGTTTTTGGTCTGTAGAAACGGATTTGCCGTGTGTGAGCATACTGACCTTCGTTTTTCCTTCCATGCGTTCGTCCATTGTTCAGCCAGGCAGGAAATTGTTTACCTCTCTATCTTTCTCTTCCTCCCTCCCTCCCTCCCTCCCTCCCTCCCTCCCTCCCTCCCTCCCTCCCTCCCTCCCTCCCTTCCTTCCTTCATGCCTGGGTCCGCACTCCACCAGAGGGATCACAGGAACAGCCTCAACTGGGAGTGTCTAGCGGAGCTCTTTCGGCAAGAGTTGGTCAGTCAGCCTTGGTTGACCTTGCGTCTCTGCGATTCCCGTCCCTGTACACCCATCCACCAGAGGGATCACAGGAACAGCCTCAACTGGGAGTGTCTGGCCGAGCTATTCCGACAGGAGATAGAGAGCTCAGAGGACATTCGCCTCAACACCCGCCTCTTCAAAGGTGAGCGCCAGTGCACTGCATACAATGGATGGACGCACTGCAACTTGCCCAAAAATAGATTGGATTTCACCCTCCTCGCATCCCCTCCTCCCTCCCTCTCCCATTTCCCTCCACACCTCCCCAACCCCTGCACTCCCTCCCTCCTTTTTTTCACCATTTCTTTCCCCCATGTCAACCTCCCAAAGGTGCTGCCCGGGGCTCGTGTTGGAAATAATCTGTCAGTTCAGGGTTTCAGGTCTAGGGCGTGAAATCCCCCTGTTCCCCATCCAAACCTGTCTCTCTTTCTCCTCACCTCTCTGCCCCTCCTCTCCAGCCTGCGTGGAGGACAAGGGCCGCTTCTGCCCCGACGTGCTGCCGGGGAAAACCTGAAGGGAATGGTTCTGTCTGTGGAGTCCCTTCCCCTCTCTTGCCATCCCATCCTTTGTTATCCGCGCTCCTCTGCCCCTCCTCCCAGCCTGTCTCGAAGACAAGCGCCGCTTCTGCCCCGACGTGCTGCCAGGGGATGCGCGGGTGAAGGACTGCCTGGAGTCGCACCTGCATGACTCTGACTTCTCCAAGACCTGGTGAGCCGAAGGAAGGTGGGTGGGGGGAACGGCAGGGCCAGGGCTTTGGCCTTGGGGGTTTTCGGGTGATGGGTACGATGTGCTACCAGGGGACGCGCGAGTGAAGGACTGCCTGGAGTCGCACCTGCATGACTCGGACTTCTCCAAGACCTGGTGAGCCGAAGGAAGGTGGGTGGGGGGAACGGCAGGGCCAGGGCTTTGGCCTTGGGGGTTTTCGGGTGATGGGTACGATGTGCTACCAGGGGACGCGCGAGTGAAGGACTGCCTGGAGTCGCACCTGCATGACTCTGACTTCTCCAAGACCTGGTGAGCCGAAGGAAGGTGGGTGGGGGGAACGGCAGGGCCAGGGCTTTGGCCTTGGGGGTTTTCGGGTGATGGGTACGATGTGCTACCAGGGGACGCGCGAGTGAAGGACTGCCTGGAGTCGCACCTGCATGACTCGGACTTCTCCAAGACCTGGTGAGCCGAAGGAAGGTGGGTGGGGGGAACGGCAGGGCCAGGGCTTTGGCCTTGGGGGTTTTCGGGTGATGGGTACGATGTGCTACCAGGGGACGCGCGAGTGAAGGACTGCCTGGAGTCGCACCTGCATGACTCTGACTTCTCCAAGACCTGGTGAGCCGAAGGAAGGTGGGTGGGGGGAACGGCAGGGCCAGGGCTTTGGCCTTGGGGGTTTTCGGGTGATGGGTACGATGTGCTACCAGGGGACGCGCGAGTGAAGGACTGCCTGGAGTCGCACCTGCATGACTCTGACTTCTCCAAGACCTGGTGAGCCGAAGGAAGGTGGGTGGGGGGAACGGCAGGGCCAGGGCTTTGGCCTTGGGGGTTTTCGGGTGATGGGTACGATGTGCTACCAGGGGACGCGCGAGTGAAGGACTGCCTGGAGTCGCACCTGCATGACTCTGACTTCTCCAAGACCTGGTGAGCCGAAGGAAGGTGGGTGGGGGGAACGGCAGGGCCAGGGCTTTGGCCTTGGGGGTTTTCGGGTGATGGGTACGATGTGCTACCAGGGGACGCGCGAGTGAAGGACTGCCTGGAGTCCCACCTGCACGACTCTGACTTATAGAAAACCTGGTGGGAAGAGAGGGGGGATAGGGGCTGGTTAGTAGATCAAGGTTGAGGTGTGAAGTTTGGTCTGGTCTAGAGGTAGATGGTGTTGCCAGGGGATGCGCGGGTGACGGACTGCCTGGAGTCGCACCTGCATGATTCTGACTTCTCCAAGACCTGGTGAGAGGAGAGGAGGGATAAGGGCGCTGGTGGATCAAGGGTTATGGTATGGGGTTTGGTCTGATCTACAGGTAGATGGTGCTGCCAGGGGATGCTCGAGCCTTGTGAAGGACTGCCTGGAGTCGCACCTGCACGACTCTGACTTCTCCAAGTCCTGGTGAGAGGAGAGGAGGGATTAGGGCTAGTTAGTTGATCGAAGATCAGGTTTACTTGGGGTTCGGTCTGAACAGGAGGCAGCTGGCTGGTGCTGCCAGGAGATGCGCGAGTGAAGGACTGCCTGAAGTCTCACTTGCTGGACTCAGACTTCTCAAAAACCTAGTGAGAGGAAAGGGGGGGGGAGGAGAGGTGGGGAAGGCAGGGGTTCCGGTCTGGTTTTGGGGTTTTTGGGGTAAAGGGCGCGATGTGCTGCCAGGAGATGCGCGAGTGAAGGACTGCCTGAAGTCTCACTTGCTGGGCTCCAATTTCTCCAAGCCGTGTTGAGAAGAAGAGGGGGTGGGAGGGGAGAGGGTGGGGAATTGTGGGGAGGGCAGGGTTTCGGGTTTAGGTTTGCGGGTTTTGATGTAACCAGTGAGAAAAGACAAGCTGCCGGCCGGGGGACGCTCACACACTCCACTCCACTCCACTCCACTCCCCTTCCTTCTCCCCACTTCCCCCCCAACCCAACCTCCACACGCAGCAAGGTGGAGTTTGAGCGCATGATGGTGCGCAGGTCGTCATCGAGACGGCGCAACCCAATCACTGCTCACACACTTCAATCCACTCACCTTCCTTTCAATCACTGCTCACACACTTCAATCCACTCACCTTCCTTTCAATCACTGCTCACACACTTCAATCCACTCACCTTCCTTTCAATCACTGCTCACACTTCAATCCACTCACCTTCCTTTCAATCACTGCTCACACACTTCAATCCACTCACCTTCCTTTCAATCACTGCTCACACACTTCAATCCACTCACCTTCCTTTCCCCCTCCCCTCCAAGTTCCAAACTCCCCCACCCCCTCCCCTCCCCACTCCACCCCCCACAACCCCAAACCCCCCGCTCACAGCAAGGTGGAGTTTGAGTGTATGATGGAGCGCAGGGCGTCATTCCGAGACAGTTCAGCCCAGTCACTTCGCACTCACTCCAAAACACACCCTCCCACCTCCCTCACCCCCCTTTCCCCCTACACGCAGCAAGGTGGAGTTTGAGCACATGATGGAGCGCAGGGCGTCTGACTTCCGCCTGGACTTCAACCTGCGCAAGTACTGCGCTGAAGATATCAGCACAGTGAGTGCATTGTGAATTGAAGCAGGGTAGAAGCAAGCATGGGCGTCTGACATCCACTTGGACTTCAACCTTCGCATCCCAAGTACTGTGCCAAGGATGTCAGCACAGTGAGTGGCGTTAGCATGGTGAGTGGGGTTCGCGTGGTGAGAGCGTTGCAGCACGTTGATTCTAGTGTGAAGCGGGCAGGGTATAAGGATGGGCATCTGACTACTGCCTGCAGGACTACCACCGCATATTCTCATAGCCCTCTCCCCACTCCCCTCTTCCCCTTCTCCATGTTGCTCATATCCTCGGACGTGCTACCAAGATGCAGAGGATGTAGTGGATGTGGCCAACAGGGATGCCAAGGTGATCAAGTGCCTGCAGGACTACCAATTGGAGCTCACTCGCACCCTACACCACCACCACCACCCCTACCCATTCCCTCTCTTTTCCCCTTTCCCCAACATAACCACAACACCAGACGTGTTACCAAGACGCAGAGGATGTGGTGGACGTGGCCAACAGGGACGCCAAGGTGATCGAGTGCCTGCAGGACTACCGAGGGGAGCTCAAGGATCCGCGGTGCCGGCAGCAGGTGCACCAACTGACAAAGAGGGCTTCCGAGGATATCAGGTTCAACAGGCCGCTTGCACAGGCGTGCAAGGGTGAGTGTGTATGCTCTCACTCACATCACAGGCGTGCAAGGGTGAGTGTGTATGCGCTCACTCACATCACATGCATGCAAGGGTGAGTGTGTATGCTCTCACTCACATCACATGCATGCAAGGGTGAGTGTGTATGCTCTCACTCACATCACATGCATGCATCTCGGTGTGTGTCCCGTGAGATGGGGTGTGGGGCGAGCTCGCAGTGCCGGCAGCAGGTGCACCAGCTGACAAAGAGGGCTTCCGAGGATATCCGGTTCAATCGCCCTCTGGCGCTGGCATGCAAGGGTGAGTGGCTGTTTGTGCACACTTGCATGCATTTGAGTGTGTGTTCCTGGATGGAGTGAACTGCCAGAGCTCAAGGACCCACGATGCCGGCAGCAGGTGCACCAACTTAACAAGCGGGCTTCAGAGGATATCCGGTTGAATCGTCCTCTGGCCCACCCTGACCCCTATGCCTTCCCATCCCCGCCCACACCCCCCTATGCCTTCCCATCCCCGCCCACACCCCCCTATGCCTTCCCATCCCCGCCCACACCCCCCTATGCCTTCCCATCCCCGCCCACACCCCCCTATACAGACGATTCCGCCAAGCTGTGCAAGGATGTGCCGCCCGGCCATGCCCGCGTGCTGCTGTGCCTGCAGGAGCACCGGAAGGGCCTCACATCCAACTGCAAGGAGGCGCTCTTCCAGGAGGTGAGGTGTGCAATCAGGTGTGCAATCAGGTGTGCAATCAGGTGTGCAATCAGGTGTGCAGTCAGGTGTGCAAGGAGGTGTGACGTCATCAGGTGTGCAGGCAAGTGTGCAAGGAGGTGTGGCGTCAGTTGATTGAGAACTTGCATTCCACATTCCTCTTTTCTTATCCCATCCACCTTTTCTCTCCTCTCCTACTATCATGCAGGAGGTGTGTTTGCAGAAGAAACTGTCACGTCTTGCTGTGATGTAAAGTTCTCCTCACGTCCTTCCCGCCTACCTTCCCACCGTCCTTCCTCCCTCTCCTTCAATCACGCAGGAGGTGCGGTTTGCAGAGGACATAGACTTCAAGTCCTGCTGTGATCTCAAAGCTTCTCACCTTGCCCATGTCTCTAAACTCCTGCTGCTCTCCCTCCGCCAATCACGCAGGAGGTGCGGTTTGCAGAGGACATAGACTTCAAGTTCCCACTCAGGCAGGCATGCGTCGACGAGATGAAGCGCCTGTGCAAGGGTGAGACTGCCTTATAACGAGTATACCATGCATGCTGTTCCTTGTGTCTCTTCTGCCACTCCTGCCCCTCCTGTCCCTCCTGCAGCTCCTGTACCTCCTGCCCGTCATGCTTATCCTGCCCCTCCTGCCCTCCTGCCCTTCCCGCCCCTCCTGCTGCTCCTCCTGCTGCTCCTTCTGCTGCTCCTCCTGCTGCTCCTCCTGCTGCTCCTGCTCCTTGTCTCTGTGCTTTGTCATGCGAATTCTTATTCCGCATGTGTGCATCCTCTTTTCTCCTAACGCCCACAGACCAGCCGGACACGATCAAGTGTCTGCAGGACTAGGTGGGGGACGCGGACATGTGGCTCACCCTCGTGTCCCTCCTTCCTTCCCTCACTCTCTCTGCTGTGCGTGTTTGTGTGTGGTGCGTGTGCGGTGATTAATACCCACAGACCTGCCGGACACGATCAAGTGTCTGTGGCAAACGTCCTATCCTGCAGGACAAGGTGGAAGATGCAGACATGTGGCAAACGTCCTGTCCTCTCTGCTGCTTGCATGTGTTGATGTTTGTTTGTGTTACTGTGTGTTTGTGTTACTGTGTGTTGCCACCCACAGACCAGCCGGACGTGATTAAGTGCCTGCAGGACAAGGTGGAAGACGCAGACATGTAGACATGTGGCATACGCTCTCTTCCCTCCCCTTTTCCTTGTTGCCTCTGTGTGTCTGTGCGCTATCCAACGTCCACAGACCAGCCGGACGTGATAAAGTGCCTGCAGGACAAGGTGGAAGACGCGGACATGGGCAAGGCGTGCAGGGAGGAGGTGAAGAAGGATGTGACGCGCGCAGCAGAGGGTGAGTAGGTTTTATGCATTTTAATGCTCTACTGTCTTAACTTCCTCCTCAACAAGGAGTGTTTTTTTTACGTCGAGCCACTCTGCCTGCACTCGTGTGATGTGGCTCTGGAAACTGGTGGCATGGAGACAGGGGTGACGTACTCACCTGCCCACCTGCTCACTCCTGCCCCTCCCATCCCATCCCCACAGACTACCGGCTCAACAAGGAGTGCTTTGTTGACGTGGAGCGCATCTGCCTGCACTCATGCGACGCTGCCTTGGAAAGAGGCGGCGACGCTCAAGTGCCCACCTGCTCTCTTGTTCTCTTCCTACGCTCCTCCTGCCAACCCCTCTCCTTGACATGTACCCTCTCCTTGACATGTACCCTCTCCTTGACATGTACCCTCTCCTTGACATGTACCCTCTCCTTGACATGTACCCTCTCCTTGACATGTACCCTCTCCTTGACATGTACCCTCTCCTTGACATGTACCCTCTCCTTGACATGTACCCTCTCCTTGACATGTACCCTCTCCTTGACATGTACCCTCTCCTTGACATGTACCCTCTCCTTGACATGTACCCTCTCCTTGACATGTACCCTCTCCTTGACATGTACCCTCTCCTTGACATGTACCCTCTCCTTGACATGTACCCTCTCCTCACCCCCCCAGATTATCGCCTCAACTTCCGCCTCAACAAGGAGTGCTTTGTCGATGTGGAGCGCCTGTGCCTGCACTCGTGCGACGCTGCTCTGGAAACTGGCGGCACGGAAACCGGGGTGACGTGTGGGGGGGCAACACTCAAGTGTCTGACGGAGAACGAGAGGAAGCTGACCTCCAAGACGTGCCGGCAGGAGCTGTTCTACTTCAAGAAGCGGATGGTTGCTGATATCTCGCTGGATATCCCCCTGCAGGTAAGGGAATGTTGCAGTTTGCTGTGTGGTGCAGTGCGGTGGAATGGAGAGGGGGGTGCCGGCAGGAGCTGTTCTACTTCAAGAAGTGCATGGTCGCTGATATCTCGCTCGATATGCCCCTGCAGGTAAGGAGGAGAGTGGGTTAGGAGGTACGAGGGTTAGGAGGTGGAGGTGGTGCACTGTGCAGTGTGCTGTGCGGTGCAGTGCGGTGGCATGGGGTTGCAGGCAGGAGCTGTCTCACTTCAAACAGAGGATGGTCGTTGATATCTCGTTGGACACCCCCCTGCAGGTAAGAGGGGAAGGGGAGGGGGGAGAACGGCTGTGCTGTCTCGCCTTTTCCCCATAATCCCCTTCTCAGGTGGTGTGCAAGAGTTATGTGCTCCAGAAGAAGTCTTTTAAGGCTCCTCAAAAGTCATGGTGTGCAAGAGTTATGTGCCCGAGAAGAAGTTATGATGGCGACAAGGACCAACCAAGCCAAGGTGTATCGGTAGGGAGTGTGTTTGATGGCTCTTCCCTCATGCATGACCTGCCTACTCCTTGCTCTCTACCCCCCTCCAGATGGCGTTCAAGAGTGATGTGGAGAAGAAGTGTGGGGGCGAGAGGGACCACTGCAAGGCGTATAAAGAGTGTGTTTCTCACCTCTGTCATTGTGAGAACCGTATGTGTTCTGTGTGCCCTTTCCCTTGTACTTGCTACCAGATGGCGTGCAAGAACGACGTGGAGAAGAAGTGTGGGGGCGAGAGGGACCACTCCAAGGCGCTGGCGTGCCTGCGGGCAAAGAGGGACGAGCTGACAGAGGAGTGCAAGGAGGAGGAGCTTCGGTTGAGTGAGATGGAGGTGGGTGTGGTGGGTTGGTAGTGCAGGGACTGTGGAGGTGTGGCTGTAACGCAGGGGAAATGGTGACAAAAATGGATGTTATTGTACTCTCTGTGGGCGGGTTATTAAAAGCATCCGTCTCATCCCAACGCTCATTAACGCATATGGCTTGGCGCTCAGCCACTTGTGCGTCCTCCCTCACTTTTACTTACTGCCTTTCAAACTAAGCCCCTTCACATCACGTCACCCCCCCTCACAGGCGCCGGACATCCGCCTAACCCCAACGCTTATGAACGCGTGTGGCCTGGAGCTCAACCATTTCTGCCTCTCACTACCGCACCCATGTGCCCACCCACTTCCCCCTTCTCAGGCATCTGACATCCGTCTGACCCCAACGCTCATGAAGGCGTGTGGCCTGGAGCTCAACCACTTGTCCTGTGCCTCCTTCCAACCCCCCTTTCTTCACCTGGTTATTGCTCCACTTCCCCCCTCCCAGGCGTCTGACATCTGTCGGACCCCAACGCTCATGAACGCGTGTGGCCTCGAGCTCAACCATTTCTGCCACCAAACCCCCTTTCTTACTCTTTTCCCGGCTCTTCCCCTCCACACCCAACAGGCATCTGACATCCGTCTGACCCCAACGCTCATGAACGCGTGTGGCCTCGAGCTCAACCATTTCTGCCGCGGCGTGCACCCCGCGACTGGGCTGGCCTTCCGCTGCCTTCAGATGAGCATCAACGAGGTGCGATTAGGACTGTTTCAGGGTAACGGTGTAACAGTGCGGTTGGGGTAACAGTGGAACACGCAAGTGCAGCCCACAGCTGGGCTGGCCTTCCACTGCCTGCAGATGAGCGTCAACGAGGTGAGACACTTTTCAAGAATATACACATATATCGACGTACATGTGTATATAAAATGTATGTATAAAAATGTTAGTTTAACCTTGTATGCTTTTGCAGCTACGCGGTCATGGTGATGCTTCACGGTACATGGTGATGCTTCACGGTACATGGTGATGCTTCACGGTACATGGTGATGCTTCACGGTACATGGTGATGCTTCACGGTACATGGTGATGCTTCACGGTACATGGTGATGCTTCACGGTACATGGTGATGCTACACGGTACATGGTGATGCTTCACGGTACATGGTGATGCTTCACGGTACATGGTGATGCTTCACGGTACATGGTGATGCTACGCGGTACATGGTGATGCTACACAGTACATGGTGGACCTGCAGTCATTCCGCCACGTGGCCTACTGCAAGCTCGACACTCATCCGCCCTTCCCCACGCACTCACTTTTCCAATATCAACCCTGCCTCACCCTCCCTCTCCCCTCCCCACCCTCCCCCCCACCCCCAACACCCACACCCCCTTTTCCCCCTCTCCTCTCCCCCCCGCCTCACCAGGTGGGCATGTCCGTGGCCTGCAAGGCAGAAGTCGATTTGCTGACCTTCCGCCACGCAGCCTGCTACAAGCTCGACGCACATTCACCGCTCCCCAACACCCCCGGCCCTCTCCCTCCCCCTCTCACCCCCCCCTACTTCAGGTGGGCATGTCAGTGGCGTGCAAGGCAGAGGTCGACCTGCAGACCTTCCGCCACGCCTCCTACTACAAGCTCGACTCGGCGCTGGCAGAGCAGTGCGAGGGGGACGTGGACTCGCTCTGCAAGGGCGTGGATGAGGGCAAGGAGGCCCAGTCCCTTGTGCTGCAGTGCCTCGTGGACCCCCTCCCCCTTCTTTCCCTCAACCCAACCCCCCTCCTTTACACTCCCTTTCACCACCCCCCCCACCAGGTGGGCATGTCAGTCGCCTGTAAGGCAGAAGTGGACCTTCAGACCTTCCGCCACGCCTCCTATTACAAGCTGGATTCCGCCTTGGCAGAGCAGTGCGAGGGGGATGTGGACTCGCTCTGCAAGGGCGTGGATGAGGGCAAGGAGGCCCACTCCCTCGTGCTGCAGTGCCTCGTGCAACACCAGGAGAACCTCTCAGGAAAATGCCTCACAGAAACGGCTTATGCCGTGCGAATGGCCCTCTGGATGTATCACAAGGATGCCGATTTGGTCAAGCCGTGTAATCCTGTGGTGGAGGAGCTTTGTGGAAATCGGACGGGGGTGGTTGCGGGGGAGGGAGCGGGGAAGGCGGGGGCGGCGGCGGCGGTGGGGGTGGTGGGGCAGTGTTTGTTGGAGCAGCCTAGGGAGAAGCTGGGGGAGGAGTGTGGGCGGCTGGTGGGGCTGATCGGGCAGCCGGGTGGGCATGTGGGCGGGGTGATTGACACGAGCCAGCTGGAAGAGACTCTCGCGCGTCTGGCACAGGTACAGGTGGGTGCAGAGCGGTGGGGAGGGAGGTGGAGAGGCTGAGGTAGGTACAGGTGGGTGCCAAGCTGAAGGATGGAGGACTGTTCAAATCAAAATGGTGACAAGTACCTTCGTTTTTCATTTCCCTTTACATATAAAACTACAGCATTCAGCAGAATGCATGTCGTGTATTGATATGCGTTTTCACTTATCAAAATATTTTCTCCCCCACTCCCCCCATTCCCCTCCGCCGCCCCATGGGAGGCAGAGAGAATGCTACAAGGTTCAACAAGGTGGTTGTGTGGAGAATCGTGGCAATTTTCCCTAACCTCCCCCCCCCCCCTCTCCCTCACATTCCCCCCTCCTGCCATCCCCACAGTTGAAGCATGAGGAAGGGGTAGAGACAGAGAGCGAGGGAGGAGGAGGGAAGCTGGTGCTGACAGGCGCTATAGCCTTTGCGGCGGTTACCGCACTCACTGCGGTGCTGCTGGGTGCTGCCTATCTGGTGTATCGCAAGTGCTTCGACCCCACCAGGAACTACACTCTCATGGTCAAGGCCGGGGATGTTTGAAACAGTGATGCTTATAAGGAGGATGTCCTGTTTGGACAGGAGACGGTTGGATTGAATCGCAGTTTAACTTAGGAATGCATAAGCTGTCTCAGATTAACTGCTGCATAAGTGTGGCAATTAGAGTAATGACGGCACAAACATCGTGGAGAGGGATTGAAGTGGATAGATGACGCTAAAGCTTTCCTACTGCCTCTTGCAAATGCATGTGAAGTAGCATGAGCGGCCATCTCATGTGATTCCTCTGTTAAACACCCTGTAGATTCTTTAACCCGTTTGACCTGGATGTTGTGTAGAAATGTTCAACCTGTGTTGGCAGCTTGTGGTTTAGCTGAAAGCAGCAAGGTGTTTCTGAAGGTGAGAACGTCTTAGGGCGTGTTCCTACACCTCATCAGGTAAACCTCATATCAGACTCACACTGAAATTCCCCTAAATCCAAAACCCTTAGCACATTTTATCAGGCAAGTCTGATATGAGGTTTGTCTTATATGAGGCGTAGGAGGAGCACGCCCTTATGAAGTCAAAAGGTAGAGAAGGGGAAACTACTTGAACAGGTCAGGCTCGTGTTCAGGCTTGCACTGCTGTGTGTCACAGCTGTGTGTGTGGGCCTGCAGAGTGGCACACATTGCTGTTCGGGCCTGCAGAGTGGCACACATTGCTGTTCGGGCCTCCAGATTGGCACACATTTCTGTGTGTGGGGTGGGGCTACTGTACCGTACGTTTAACAGGCATAAGGTTCCATTGAGGACTGTAGAGTGCATTGAGTTGATTTTTGAGGCGCCTAAAAAACAACCCTAATGCTGAGTAGTGCACAAGTCTGTATGAGGGTCTGCTGTATCACACGCACGAATCAACTTCCATTCTGCTCTGTAGAGAGCTTTGCCCCCATTCCGGGCCATCTCCCCCCCTCCCTTTTTCTCCAGCCAAGGAAAGTCAAGGCTCAGAAATGGCTCTTTCAAACAGGGAAGTTACATCAGAGGGAATGACACAGGGGAATCAAACCAAGGGGGGCAAACAAAGGTTAATACTTCAGGGACTCTTGAGCCCATCCCATCACCTCAGTCAGCTTGCCCATCCCCTCAGTCAGCCAGAAAAAAACCACAACTTCAATACACTAGCTCTTTAGACCAAGGGAGACAAACCAAAGGAAGTGAATCGGGAAACAAAGCAGGGGGGGTAAGCCAGGGGAATCAAGCACTAGAAAGACCACGCAGGTATCCCTTTCAAGAATGTGAAATGCGATGGGATGGCCATGAGGATAAAATTCGTTGGCCAGGAATGAGACGGGCATCTGAAGGGATGGGTGGGATGGCCTCTGGTCGGTGCTGTTCCGAGCAGGAGGAACGGGAGGGGGAAGTTCGCTCACTCATAGACGCCAGTCTCACAAGCGTCGCCCACTCACAAGCGTCGCTCACTCACAAGCGTCGCTCACTCACATGCGTCGCTCACTCACAAGCGTCGCTCACTCACAAACGTCGCTCACTAATATGTGCAGGTCACTCCTCGGGGTGACACGCGGAGCACCCTACATGCCTCAGATTACAGACATGCCGAGTAGAGCAAGTGGCTCTGGCAACATGGGAGTCACTTTTGAGAGTTTTCTGGAGTGCGTCAGATTACAGTCATGCCGTGTAGAGCTGGTACTTCTAACTGCCGGTTGATCGTCGTCACGTTTTGTAAGGCGATGGCCATTTCGCGAGGCTTTTGAGGCGCCTCAGATGGCTATTCTACAAAATACGAGAAGAGCTGGTACTTCTAACAGCCGGTTGAGTGTGACCACGTTTTGGAAGGCGATGGCCATTTCGTAAGTCGTCTCAAAAATCGAAAGCGGTCGAACGACCAGAAACGCATGGTTTGACATTTGCTCGATAGGTACGTGGCTGCGCCTGCTGGAAAGGCTTGACCACAATGCGTCGCAAATTTCGAGCATAATCGGTTCTTAGTCGTCGAATACCGATACTCTAGGTGCATAATCGTCCCTAAGAAGGGTTTCGCTTTGATCTCCTGCGCGGGCTACTGCCATCAGTGTCACCCTTCACTGCTAGGAGATGTTTGGAACTCGGAACTTGAGTAGAACTCTGTCAAAGGAGGGTGGAAGGAGGGGTCGCTTGTGTGGCACGCTAAAAGCACAACCGAGCAGATGCTCGTCAAAATAAACGCTTCCAAATCTGCCACGCTGGCAGGAAGCCAGTTTTTATCCCACGACGCGAACATTTACGGAAGCCGAGGCTGAAATAAACTTTGCAAACTGCGACGAGTAGTTATCTTTGCGCTTGGGGCAATGACGCAGTTAATGAGGTTTATCCGAGACGCGTCAATTGCTGGTTGAAAACTATTTCCAAACCCCCTCAGCGGCCCGGGAGGGCCACTGAGAATTTCTGGAAAGGCTGATTCGCTCGGCCTAAAAAAACAAATTGGAAATGGGATTTAGTCTAGGCGATGGCCATTTCGCGAGTCGCATCCAAAGTCGAAAGTGCTGGAATGACTTGTATCGCATGGTTTCACATTCGATTGATAGATACGCGGTTGTTTTGCAGGAAAGGCTTGACCACAATTTGTCGTTAATTCTCGTGCATAATCGGTTCTTAGTCGTCGGATGCCAATACTTAGGTGAATAATCGTCGCTTAGTAGGGTGTCGCTTTAATCTCCAGTGAGAGCTATCGGCATCAGTGTCACCCTACACCACTAGGAGTTCTGATAATCGCTGGAACAAGTTGTTTGAACTACATACTGGTTCTGTCGAAGGCGAGTGGAAGTAGGGATCGCTTGGGTAGCACGCTACAAGCACAAACCAAACGCTTGTCAGAATACACGCTTCAGAGTTTGCCACGTAAGCAGCATGCGACGCCTCTGTCCCACAAAGCGAACATTGACGGAAGCCAAGCCTGAAATAAACTGTGCAAACAGCACAGGAAGTGTATCTTTGCGCTTGGGGCAATGACGCAGTTAACGAGGTTTATCCGAGACGCGTCAATTGCTGGTTGAAAACTATTTCCAAACCCCCTCAGCGGCCCGGGAGGGCCACTGAGAATTTCTGGAAAGGCCGAATTACTCGGCCTACAAAAACAAATCGAAAATGGGATGTATTCAAGTGAAATATTACCCCAATGGGTGGAAAATGTGTCAATTGGGGGAGAAACGTTGTGCCGAGAGCATGATCTCGCAAAATCACAGGCACGGGATTTGTCATAAATCTAAGGCAAGGGATTTTACCAACGATGCCCCCCTGTTTTCAGGGGCATTTGCACACTAACTGCCTGGTTGGGTCTGTAGTTTCCATTGGCACGTGAACAGGGGTCATGCTGGCAGGTGAACCAGAAACATTATTTACCGTAGCTATACAGAATTCCACTCTAAAACAACCATCTATAGCACCCCATAGTGAAGACTTCTAGTTTGTTTCACACACAAGTCCTAACCTAGCGATCCTCGTCCCAATGTGCTGCTCTCAATAATATCATCAGCTGCAGCACCACCATCATCTCCTGTCAATCCCACACCTTCCACCAACTCGTACCCAGACGAAAGAGTTCTGCTCGACGGCGAAAACATCCCCTTGAGCGGCGAACACCCCCTAGATCCGAACCTGGGCGGGGAGGGTTGGCGGGAGCCGGGCCTTGGGGTCGGGGAAGCATGTCGTGAGGTTGGGCGAGAAGAGGGTCGGGAACAGGGTTGGCAGGAGGTTCGGGAGGAGGTTCGGGGTGAGGTCCGAGAGGAAGGATGAGGGGTTTCCTGTGAGGGTAGAAGGATGCTGTCTGGTATGGCAGCAGCTGTGCTTGCTGCTGCTGCCAGTGCTGCTGAAGCTGGAGTTATGGCTGGTAGTGGTAAGGATGGTGATGGTGATGGTGATGCGGCTGCTGCAGCTGCTGCTATTTTTTCTCTTGCTGCTGATGCTGCTATTTTTTCTCTTGCTGCTGCTGCTGTTGCTCCCACTGCTGCTGGTGCTGTTGCAGCTCCTGCTGCCTCCGTCATTGCGGGAGCAGCAGTAGCGGCAGCGGAATTTTCTAGACCAATGGGGTGAGTGGTGGGTGGTGCAGAAGCAGCAGCAGGGGCAGAGGAGGGTGGGGGAGAGGATGGCAGAGCAGGAGCATGCGAGGCAGTAATTGGTCCCACAGCTTGTATCGCCTCACTCCCTCCTACTGGTCCTACAGCTTGTACGGTATTGAATCGGCAGATGTAGCGCCAACAGGCCCACCTGGAGAGGAAGAAGACTCCTCATCGTCCTTCTTCTTATCACTCCCATCACTCACACCACCCCTATGTGGAGAAAGACGCGTCCAGCGCAGGGCTGATTTTATCAGGGTAATTACCCTGATTTCAGGGTGATTACAGGCTTCTGACTTGGTGGTCCCTGCAAACTCAGGTTTTGTATTTTGTGAACTCTGATCCAATCAGAGAAGCTACTTAACGGACTCTGAATTCTTGTAACTAGGCTCAGAGTAGTGTAGTTGCGGACTCTGTCTATGCAGGGTATGCGTTCCGTGGACCCTGAATGCGAGGGTATCGGGACGAAGTTTCCTAGAAGCTTCGTTTCGATAACCCCCTTGTGCGTAATCATTTCTTCGAGTGGCCCCATGTGAGGTACCCCCTTCACGCGCCCGTGAGTGACGTAATACCGACAAAGGAAAACACTGACGTGCTGTACATCACAGCTGGCAACAGCGCCAACGCAGCCAAATCAATGATACGGTGCTGCCACGCGCACCGCAGAGTGCACAGCATGTGTCTGCCATTGGCCAGAATGGCCTGTTGACATCATGCGGTGGCAGCCAAGGAGTCCGTGAATGAATTTGGCCTTGAATGCAACGATGAATTCATCGTCGAATGTTGCCATCAAGTCCGTGGAATCGCGGCGCGGTGGTTTCATGCTCCCGCCATCTCCAACCTTCCCTTCCCTCCCCCTACCAACAGCCAACGTTCCTTTGTTCACTGGTGTTTTCTTTCCATTCCGTGCATTCATTGTCTCATTTTCCTCTCGTTCAGTTTAGCCACCAATGGAGGCCATGCCGACCGACGAAGCTGCTCCGGACACTGGCACCGACGAGCCGCCTGTAACAGCGAAACCAACAGCGCCGTCCCAGCCGGAGAAAGCTTCGGATGCTCCCCGCTCTGGGCTAGATTTTCTTAGAGCTACGGCTGCTCCCGTCACACCTGAACCGCCTAGGTCTACCGTTCACGACTCTGCCCCTGTAGTAACCCCTACTCCTACTGCTTCTCCTATTCCCGTCCCGTTCACTCTCCCCCCGGCTGTTGCTGGCTGCAGCAAAGATCCTCCACCGCCCTCGCCCAGTCCTACTCCAAGCACGGTGCGGGTGTCCCTTGGCCCGCCGTCGGCTACTTCCGCTCCCAAGCGTGCGCGATCTGGTAAGTGGGCGCAGAGTAGTCTGCTGGTGGGAGGCCGCCGTATTCCACCGCCGGAAAAGCCCGATGAGCCTGCACAGAAAGAAGTTGAGCTGCCGGAAGAAGGTGACATCCCGGTGCGCGCGGATACCGGCTCGCCGGCACTCACCAAGACGCAGCTGCGAGAGCAGATGTACCTGGAGGCGAGTATTAATTACGAGACGAAGTGGGCGGGATACTTTTCTTGGCTTGTGTTTGGGAAAACCAAGGACGGTTTCCCGTACGTGAAGTGCAGCATCTGCATGTCGTACGGTAAGGGGAACACGAGGTACGCCATGCAGGGAGACGACGGAGGCCGTGACTTGCAGACGCAGTCGTTCCGGGCGCACGAGCATACGGACGCACACATGGCGGCGGTGGACCGCCAGATGAAGATTGCGGCGGGAATCCGCGAGGGGAAGCAGGTGATTTCGGACTTCATCAACTCCGACGTCGAGGGCCGCCGCGCGATACGGCTGATGCGGTCGACTCAGTTCCTGTGCCAGTGCGACGCGCCGATTAGCATGTTTCCTAAGCTGATGCGGCATCTTGCGGAGCAGGACACGCCAGACATTCCCCGGCAGTCGTACGGCGTTTATCTCACGCGGTAAGTGACGGTTCAAATTGATTGCAAATTTAAACATGCACGTCAAACAACTTGCTTGACTATCGTGTACTGATAATTTCTCTGTCCTTTGTTGCAGCTACGGCTTCCAGCAGATGGTCCACAGCATGAGCACTTACCTCACCCGGGTGCAGATGGACCACGTCCTGGCATCACCGTTCCTGGGCATCCAGTGCGACGAGAGCACTGACCGCACGCGAGGGAAACACATGATTGTGTACCTTACATTTCTGAAGAACCGCCAAGTTGCATGCGAGTTTTTCACTTTGCTGACGGTCGAGCGGTGTGATGCAGGGTCCTTGTTTGAGGTGCTTCTGAACCATCTTCGCTCCGCTGCCGTCGATGTGTCCAAGATCGTCGGCATCAGCACGGACGGGGCGTCGGTCATGACCGGGAGAGAGAACGGATTGGTGGCGCGTCTTCGTGAACACGTCCCTCATCTGTTCTCATGCCACTGCATCGCCCATCGGTATGTGAGTTGGTCTGTATTGTAGCATGTTATCTACGCTGATTGGTTTACTAACAAACCATAATACTTGTTCCCTGCTTTTCACAGTGAGGCGTTGGCTGTGAAGGACGCCGCTGACTCAAACCCGGATCTCGGCATGGTCGACAAGGTGGTGCGCACTGTGGCGACTCTGCTCGGAAACTCCAGCGTGTGGAGTCAGCGGTTCAAGTACCTGCAGCGTGTAATTTACAAGACCAACCTGGAAGTCCAAGGCATCCACACGGTGCGGTGGCTGTCTCGAGGAGATGCGGTGGCCAGGCTGTGCAAGGTCCTCGGCGCTTGCATCGTGCTGCTCTGGGAGCACAATCACAAGGCGTACGAGATTGTCACCTGCTACAAGTTTCAGTTCTGCTTGTTTTTCTTGGCCGACATCTTGGCGGACATGAACGACCTCAACCGCTGCTTCCAGAGACGAGAGGTGAGGTCGCATGTTTGTATGATGTTGCTACGTGAGGTTCGTAAATGCACTGTTGCTCATCCTTCTCCCTCTTGTCTACCCCTGCTCCGACACAGCTGGACGTGACTGAGATTGCGAAGACGATCGAGTCCACAACGAGTGACCTGACGGAGCGCTACTTGACGCCAGAGAAAGCTTTCGGGGGCGAAGGGAAGAGCTGGCTGGTGAACTTCCTCAAAGTCCACAAGGAGGGTGGAGGCAAGCAGGTCCGGGTGCGCGGCGTGGACGGTGCTGGACGCCCGATCAACCACCTGTACACCATGCATGAGCGGAAGCTGAAGGGGCACAAACACGGAAGCACCTACGCAGACTGCGTGAAGCTGTGCCGCAAATTCGCCCGTGACTGCGTGGACAACCTCAACAACCGACTGGATGACCTTGGGAAGCTGGGGCCGACGAAGCTTTTCCGGGCGGGGAAGTGGCCGAAGATCAAGGCCCAGCGAGAGAAGAAGTGTAAGGAGTGGCTGAACGGATGCAGCAGGCTGTTCCGCAACAAGCTGCCGGGATTCGACCTCAAAGCAGCAGAGAGGGAGCTTCCAACCTTCTGCGCGATCATGGAGGCACACCATGAGATGGAGAGCTTCACCCAGGGCCTGTCCAACTTCCTTGGGAGCGCAGACTCCAAGAGGTAGCCTATACTTTGCTAACATGGGTTTTACAATCTTGTTGCGCATCGCTAACTGTTTCCGTTGTGTTGTGTGTTCGAATGTGCCTGGCAGGAGATGGCCCAACCTCATCCTGCTGTGGCAGGCGCTGGCTGTGCTCCCCCTCTCCACCGTGGAGTGCGAGAGGGGGTTCTCCAGGCAGAACGTCATCAAGTCCTGGGTGCGAGGAGCGCTGTGCAACGCGCGTCTGGGGGAGCTGATGCAGATATCGCTCCTCAAGTATGAGATCGACTGGCCGGAGGCACTGGAGGTGTGGAGGTCCCTGCGGAGGAGGCGCCCTGCGAAGAGCTTGAAGCTGGCTGTGGCAGAGAGGGAGAGGAGGGGGAAGCAGAAGGAGGGTGAAGATGTGGCTGCTGGAAATGCCGGGGAGAATGAGGATGAGGAGGAGGAGGAGGAGGACGATGAAGTGGAACAGGCCTTCGGCGACGATCAGGAGATCGTGGGGGAGGAGGAAGCGGAGGACAATCCATTCCTGTCGGACGATGAGGATGTGGAGGAGGTGTACTTCATAGACAAGCCCGTGCACTAGACTAGATAGAGTAGGAAAGTGCATGCAGTTGTATCATTTTGGAAAATAGTGCACTGTTAATAGCAACCCTGTTTTTGAGCTGTGAACCCTGTCCGGTCAGAGTTGGACTTCGTGTGACACTGAGCTATCAGGGTAGCTACCTTGCAAAAAATGTGCCCTCATAATAGAGGGTCAAAATTTTTACTGGAATCAGGGAGTCCTAAAACGAAACGTCAGCCCTGGTCCAGCGTCCTGGACGCATGCGTCCAGACGCTGGACGCTAGTTTAGGCCCCCCGAGACGCAGCAAAAGACGCAGGTCCGGGCAGCCAAAAAAACCCCCCCGGGCAGCCAAAAAAAAGTTATAGGGCAGAGGGAAGAGGGGGTAAGAGGGGGGGGGGGGGGGGGGGACACACTTTCATAGCAGAATTTCTCCTCAACAACAAAATTTCAGCCACAACAATAGAACATGAAGGTGAGCCCCAAATTTCCATAATCACAATTAGTCCAAGGGTTGTTTAGCATGCATGCATACTACCACTAACTAACATGCATCACTCATCCTCCTCGCTCTCCTTCCCCTTCTCCTCCTCCTTCTCCAAATCCTCCTGCTCCTTGTACTCGTCGAAGGTGAGGTCATCCTCATCCACCTCCACCTCTCCATCCTCCTCAAGCTTGTACCCCTCGGGAAGGGGTCGGGGGGGAATGTTCCCCTCCACTATTCCCGCCTTCCTGACTTCCCCACTCGGCCCCGCACCCGCCGCACCCTTGTGGTGGTTGTGCACAACGTTCCAGTTGTGCGCAACGAACACAAGGTCGCGAACACAAGGAGCTAGCCATAACGGTGGTGCGCGGAAAGGAGCTAAAACCACTAGGGTTTTTGAAAGGGAATTGGGTTGTGAGAAAAGGGAGCACAAATGAGAGGTTTCATGAACTAAATGGGCTTTGTGGGGGTGGTGGACCACAAAGGTTGGGTTTCCTAGTTGTGGAGTGGTGGAGAGGGGTTGGATTTCCAAATCAATTTTGCAAAAAGGGGAGGGGGTTAGGGGTGAATTAGATGGCTGGTTTTGGGGGTCGAATTTGCTTGGGGGGTGTCGAATTTCGGCGAAATTGACATTCGCGACGAAATCGCGAATGTCAATTTCGCGATCGCGGAAAAAAAAAAATCTCGGTCTGCCCGAAAAATTTTCCAGGGTGCGTCCTGCGTCCGGACGCGCGTCCTGCGTCTTTGCGTCCGGACGCTGCGTCCGGACGCAGGACGCAGGGCTGCCCCAGCGTCTTTCTCCACATAGCACCACCCTCCCCACCCCGACCACCTCTCCCATCATACCCACTTTTTCCACCCTCCCCACCCACTGCACCCTCCCCAGCTTCAACCTTCGCACCCTCCCCATCCCCCCCCCCACCTTCCCCTCTTTCCCCAATCTCCACCCCCTCCTCCCCCTCCCCATGCAACCCGTACTGGGCCAGCAGGGTGGCATAGGCTGCTTCAAACGCGGATGAGGAGCTGCCTATTTCGTCCCTTCCTATCGCATCACTGCGGATAGGCTCACTGCTAGCCATCCAACCACTTGCAGCAGCACCACCAGCAGCACTACCAGCAGCAGTAGCAACAGCAGCACCAGCAGCAGTAGCAACAGCAGCACCAGCAGCAGCACCAGCAGCAGCAGTGGTGCTGGCAGTGGTACCAATCGTGTCTGAGATGGTAACCGGTGTAACAGTGGCTCAGGCAGCAGCAGCGCCTGTGGCAGATGAAGCGGAGTGTGAGGAGGAGCCTCCAGGGGGTTTGACTGGTTGTGGCGCTTCCGCTTGAAAGTCGATTTGGGAAGGCGGGATCGGGCTGCAGAGAATTTCCCGGAAGTTGCGCGGAATGCCGAGGTCGTACGGGTTGTTTTTCCGCTTGTAGCGCATCCGGAAATTCTCATACGTGGTCTGGTGGAAGGGAGGAGGGTGGGGGGAGGGGGGGAGGAAGGGACGGTGGGTGGGTGGTGATATAAGATATCCTTCATAACTCTTTCGCTTGTAGCGCATCCGGAAATTCTCACATGTGGTCTGGCGAGAGGGGTGGTTGGCAGGAAGGGGTGATGCGAGGGAGCGGTTGGCGAGCTATTCAAAGTCTCAGAAGTCTATCTCTTGTAGCGCATTAAAAAATCCCCATCTGTACTCTGACGGGAAGGGATGGAGGGAAAGGGAGAGGGGGGGGGGGAGGGGGGTGAGGAAAGGGTGGAAGGAGAACCCTCTGAGAATCACACCACCACAGAGGAGTAAGCAAAAAAAAAAAAAAAAAAAAAAAGGTATGCTTTTTTAGGCGCCTAAAATATCGTCAGAGGAGTAAGCAAAAAAAAAAAAAAAAAAAAAGTATGCCATGAGAAACAGCACCACCACTGGTGCCTTTGCAGCTAAGTCACTCAATGCATACTTGATTTGTAGCCATGAGGAATGTGTGGAACGCTGTGAGTCCCTCCACGAACCACACCACTATGAAGATGTACGCCACGAGAATCACCGCCACTGGCGCCTTTCCCATCCCATGCAGCAATCCCCACCTGATTGACTCTGAAACGTCTCAAAGCGCAAATCTCACCTGATTTGTGGCCGTAAGAAAGGTGTGAAAGACCATAAGCCCTCCCACGAACCACACCACTATAGTGGTATACGCCATGAAAATCACCGCCACTGGCGCCTTTCCCCATGCAGTCCGCAGCCCACCAGACAGGTGATGCCATGTGATTGAAGAAGTGTTTTGAGACGTCTCAAAACACTTCTTCAGACAGGTGGTGCCATGGGGGACAATCCGGGATGCTGAGCTTACCTGATTGGTGGCCATCAGGAACGTGTGAAAGGCAGTGAGTCCCCCCACGAACCACACCACTATGAAGGTGTACGCCATCAGAAGTATTTTGAGGCGCCTCAAAATACACCTCTGAGCTTACCTGATTGGTGGCCATCAGGAACGTGTGAAAGGCAGTGAGTCCCCCCACGAACCACACCACTATGAAGGTGTACGCCATCAGAAGTATTTTGAGGCGCCTCAAAATACACCTCTGAGCTTACCTGATTGGTGGCCATCAGGAACGTGTGAAAGGCAGTGAGTCCCCCCACGAACCACACCACTATGAAGGTGTACGCCATCAGAAGTATTTTGAGGCGCCTCAAAATACACCTCTGAGCTTATCTGATTGGTGGCCATCAGGAACGTGTGAAAGGCAGTGAGTCCCCCCACGAACCACACCACTATGAAGGTGTACGCCATCAGAAGTATTTTGAGGCGCCTCAAAATACACCTCTGAGCTTACCTGATTGGTGGCCATCAGGAACGTGTGAAAGGCAGTGAGTCCCCCCACGAACCACACCACTATGAAGGTGTACGCCATCAGAAGTATTTTGAGGCGCCTCAAAATACACCTCTGAGCTTACCTGATTGGTGGCCATCAGGAACGTGTGAAAGGCAGTGAGTCCCCCCACGAACCACACCACTATGAAGGTGTACGCCATCAGAAGTATTTTGAGGCGCCTCAAAATACACCTCTGAGCTTACCTGATTGGTGGCCATCAGGAACGTGTGAAAGGCAGTGAGTCCCCCCACGAACCACACCACTATGAAGGTGTACGCCATCAGAAGTATTTTGAGGCGCCTCAAAATACACCTCTGAGCTTACCTGATTGGTGGCCATCAGGAACGTGTGAAAGGCAGTGAGTCCCCCCACGAACCACACCACTATGAAGGTGTACGCCATCAGAAGTATTTTGAGGCGCCTCAAAATACACCTCTGAGCTTACCTGATTGGTGGCCATCAGGAACGTGTGAAAGGCAGTGAGTCCCCCCACGAACCACACCACTATGAAGGTGTACGCCATCAGAAGTATTTTGAGGCGCCTCAAAATACACCTCTGAGCTTACCTGATTGGTGGCCATCAGGAACGTGTGAAAGGCAGTGAGTCCCCCCACGAACCACACCACTATGAAGGTGTACGCCATCAGAAGTATTTTGAGGCGCCTCAAAATACACCTCTGAGCTTATCTGATTGGTGGCCATCAGGAACGTGTGAAAGGCAGTGAGTCCCCCCACGAACCACACCACTATGAAGGTGTACGCCATCAGAAGTATTTTGAGGCGCCTCAAAATACACCTCTGAGCTTACCTGATTGGTGGCCATCAGGAACGTGTGAAAGGCAGTGAGTCCCCCCACGAACCACACCACTATGAAGGTGTACGCCATCAGAAGTATTTTGAGGCGCCTCAAAATACACCTCTGAGCTTACCTGATTGGTGGCCATCAGGAACGTGTGAAAGGCAGTGAGTCCCCCCACGAACCACACCACTATGAAGGTGTACGCCATCAGAAGTATTTTGAGGCGCCTCAAAATACACCTCTGAGCTTACCTGATTGGTGGCCATCAGGAACGTGTGAAAGGCAGTGAGTCCCCCCACGAACCACACCACTATGAAGGTGTACGCCATCAGAAGTATTTTGAGGCGCCTCAAAATACACCTCTGAGCTTACCTGATTGGTGGCCATCAGGAACGTGTGAAAGGCAGTGAGTCCCCCCACGAACCACACCACTGTGAAGGTGTACGCCATCAGAAGTATTTTGAGGCGCCTCAAAATACACCTCTGAGCTTACCTGATTGGTGGCCATCAGGAACGTGTGAAAGGCAGTGAGTCCCCCCACGAACCACACCACTATGAAGGTGTACGCCATCAGAAGTATTTTGAGGCGCCTCAAAATACACCTCTGAGCTTACTTGATTGGTGGCCATCAGGAACGTGTGAAAGGCAGTGAGTCCCCCCACGAACCACACCACTATGAAGGTGTACGCCATCAGAAGTATTTTGAGGCGCCTCAAAATACACCTCTGAGCTTATCTGATTGGTGGCCATCAGGAACGTGTGAAAGGCAGTGAGTCCCCCCACGAACCACACCACTATGAAGGTGTACGCCATCAGAAGTATTTTGAGGCGCCTCAAAATACACCTCTGAGCTTACCTGATTGGTGGCCATCAGGAACGTGTGAAAGGCAGTGAGTCCCCCCACGAACCACACCACTATGAAGGTGTACGCCATCAGAAGTATTTTGAGGCGCCTCAAAATACACCTCTGAGCTTACCTGATTGGTGGCCATCAGGAACGTGTGAAAGGCAGTGAGTCCCCCCACGAACCACACCACTATGAAGGTGTACGCCATCAGAAGTATTTTGAGGCGCCTCAAAATACACCTCTGAGCTTACCTGATTGGTGGCCATCAGGAACGTGTGAAAGGCAGTGAGTCCCCCCACGAACCACACCACTATGAAGGTGTACGCCATCAGAAGTATTTTGAGGCGCCTCAAAATACACCTCTGAGCTTATCTGATTGGTGGCCATCAGGAACGTGTGAAAGGCAGTGAGTCCCCCCACGAACCACACCACTATGAAGGTGTACGCCATCAGAAGTATTTTGAGGCGCCTCAAAATACACCTCTGAGCTTACCTGATTGCTGGCCATCAGGAACGTGTGAAAGGCAGTGAGTCCCCCCACGAACCACACCACTATGAAGGTGTACGCCATCAGAAGTATTTTGAGGCGCCTCAAAATACACCTCTGAGCTTACCTGATTGGTGGCCATCAGGAACGTGTGAAAGGCAGTGAGTCCCCCCACGAACCACACCACTATGAAGGTGTACGCCATCAGAAGTATTTTGAGGCGCCTCAAAATACACCTCTGAGCTTACCTGATTGGTGGCCATCAGGAACGTGTGAAAGGCAGTGAGTCCCCCCACGAACCACACCACTATGAAGGTGTACGCCATCAGAAGTATTTTGAGGCGCCTCAAAATACACCTCTGAGCTTACCTGATTGGTGGCCATCAGGAACGTGTGAAAGGCAGTGAGTCCCCCCACGAACCACACCACTATGAAGGTGTACGCCATCAGAAGTATTTTGAGGCGCCTCAAAATACACCTCTGAGCTTACCTGATTGGTGGCCATCAGGAACGTGTGAAAGGCAGTGAGTCCCCCCACGAACCACACCACTATGAAGGTGTACGCCATCAGAAGTATTTTGAGGCGCCTCAAAATACACCTCTGAGCTTACCTGATTGGTGGCCATCAGGAACGTGTGAAAGGCAGTGAGTCCCCCCACGAACCACACCACTATGAAGGTGTACGCCATCAGAAGTATTTTGAGGCGCCTCAAAATACACCTCTGAGCTTATCTGATTGGTGGCCATCAGGAACGTGTGAAAGGCAGTGAGTCCCCCCACGAACCACACCACTATGAAGGTGTACGCCATCAGAAGTATTTTGAGGCGCCTCAAAATACACCTCTGAGCTTACCTGATTGGTGGCCATCAGGAACGTGTGAAAGGCAGTGAGTCCCCCCACGAACCACACCACTATGAAGGTGTACGCCATCAGAAGTATTTTGAGGCGCCTCAAAATACACCTCTGAGCTTACCTGATTGGTGGCCATCAGGAACGTGTGAAAGGCAGTGAGTCCCCCCACGAACCACACCACTATGAAGGTGTACGCCATCAGAAGTATTTTGAGGCGCCTCAAAATACACCTCTGAGCTTACCTGATTGGTGGCCATCAGGAACGTGTGAAAGGCAGTGAGTCCCCCCACGAACCACACCACTATGAAGGTGTACGCCATCAGAAGTATTTTGAGGCGCCTCAAAATACACCTCTGAGCTTACCTGATTGGTGGCCATCAGGAACGTGTGAAAGGCAGTGAGTCCCCCCACGAACCACACCACTATGAAGGTGTACGCCATCAGAAGTATTTTGAGGCGCCTCAAAATACACCTCTGAGCTTACCTGATTGGTGGCCATCAGGAACGTGTGAAAGGCAGTGAGTCCCCCCACGAACCACACCACTATGAAGGTGTACGCCATCAGAAGTATTTTGAGGCGCCTCAAAATACACCTCTGAGCTTACCTGATTGGTGGCCATCAGGAACGTGTGAAAGGCAGTGAGTCCCCCCACGAACCACACCACTATGAAGGTGTACGCCATCAGAAGTATTTTGAGGCGCCTCAAAATACACCTCTGAGCTTATCTGATTGGTGGCCATCAGGAACGTGTGAAAGGCAGTGAGTCCCCCCACGAACCACACCACTATGAAGGTGTACGCCATCAGAAGTATTTTGAGGCGCCTCAAAATACACCTCTGAGCTTACCTGATTGGTGGCCATCAGGAACGTGTGAAAGGCAGTGAGTCCCCCCACGAACCACACCACTATGAAGGTGTACGCCATCAGAAGTATTTTGAGGCGCCTCAAAATACACCTCTGAGCTTACCTGATTGGTGGCCATCAGGAACGTGTGAAAGGCAGTGAGTCCCCCCACGAACCACACCACTATGAAGGTGTACGCCATCAGAAGTATTTTGAGGCGCCTCAAAATACACCTCTGAGCTTACCTGATTGGTGGCCATCAGGAACGTGTGAAAGGCAGTGAGTCCCCCCACGAACCACACCACTATGAAGGTGTACGCCATCAGAAGTATTTTGAGGCGCCTCAAAATACACCTCTGAGCTTATCTGATTGGTGGCCATCAGGAACGTGTGAAAGGCAGTGAGTCCCCCCACGAACCACACCACTATGAAGGTGTACGCCATCAGAAGTATTTTGAGGCGCCTCAAAATACACCTCTGAGCTTACCTGATTGCTGGCCATCAGGAACGTGTGAAAGGCAGTGAGTCCCCCCACGAACCACACCACTATGAAGGTGTACGCCATCAGAAGTATTTTGAGGCGCCTCAAAATACACCTCTGAGCTTACCTGATTGGTGGCCATCAGGAACGTGTGAAAGGCAGTGAGTCCCCCAACGAACCA